GCCTTATCCTTATTACGTGGCAGTTTTTTCTGCACTAAATGGTCGCCTATGACCTCTACTTAAGCAGATCTTTTCTTATCTGATATCTGCTCCATTTATTACTGGCCATCCCTATCGGTTTCATAAGGTCAGCAGATTCCCTGTGCGGCAGGTTCATTTCTGAAGGCGTGTGACTTGCAGTACCATGGCTGTGGCTCTCATCACCCCTTCGCTGCTAACCAGACCGTATCCCTTTACCCTCTGACCTGTGTCACGTTGCTTTCTGGATGTGCCAGTACTCTGTCACCTCCTTATGAGACAGGGGTGGGGTTTTTTTCAGTCCTCTAAGGATTTTCTTGCACCCTATTTATGGGTTTGGTAGACTACTTTTTCCCATTATAAAATCTCTGCTAAAGGCTTTGCAGGCTTTATGTTTGATTTCTGCTCACTATTTCATGTGTACAGTTTTCTGAAGAATACTGGATGGAGCTTTTATTCTAGCTGGGGGAGTAAAAGGGGATAACGCACCCTTCGGTCTGGGTCTAGGTCTGCTGTAGAGAGGTCCCCGCTGGGAGAAAGGAACTGGGAGTGGGAGAAGTTCTGGTTTCATTCATCCAACTTGCTGGACAGCAGACAAGGGCTGTCATCACGAATTTCAGGGCTGAAGGAAGCTCTTTATTCTCAAGAGATAGCAGGGAGCAAAGAAAGACTCATGACCCAGTTACCTCTGGAGCGAGCACAGCTGCCTGCTCTCCGTTATGCAGAGCTCAGAGTGGATTCTCAGCCTGATCTCACATTTTAAGTTTTCCTGCTTCATAAATATGCAGCGTTGTCGGTGTGTTATACTTCAGTGCCTTGTACTACAAGAGCCCACAAATTGTTGTTTTTCTCTGGCTTGCTTGTGCGTGTGTTTCAATTAAAGATGCCCATGTATACAGCTCAGTGCTGTGCAGGCGATGAGAAATGTTTTCTCAAGCGTTGACTTGAGAGTGGAGGTGTTCGAGAGCCAGAAGTTTAAATTCAGGCTATTTCTGAGCAGGACAGGTTTTGGTAGGGTGCAACGGGTCACCGAGGGCATGGGTGGGTGACTTGCAAGTCCATTCCCAGCAGGAATGGGATTGATGCAGGACAGGCTGGGCAGAAAGTTGGAAGACATGGGTTTAGTTGTAGAGACACCATTAATCCAACTCCATCTTGTTAAACCTTTACCCTTTTACTGTTCATTTTCACTTCTGCCATGGGTTTGTCCTCTTTATTTGGATCATAAGTGCTTGAGGGCAAGGACCATTCAGCAGTAGAGCCAGCTTTGAACACAACCACTAAGGAATATATCAGTTCAATTAATAAGTTATGACAGTTAAAAGGAAACAACTGTTTCTTAATTTTATTTTTGTCCTAGTGATAAAGCATTGCCAAAATCTGTCTCATTACGTACAGAGGCATACTTAATTTTACTGCATTTTTGTTTGTTTGGGATCATATTGTCCCTAATAGAGAATTCAAATAACCACTAGCCTGGATCGAAACCACTGTAAGGCAAAAAGAACATGAAGCAGCACTACAGCCAGTTTTTGCAACCTAGAAGGAAAGATACCTTAAAGCATACTGAGAAAAAAACTGTGAAATATGATGATTTCTTGTATTTTCCAGCATTTTCAAAGTAAAATTCATTAATTATAGATTGTTTATGAAAAGTAGATTTCTTAACCTGTATTGAGACTGGACTCTGTAGTTAAACAGACTTGCTGTTAAACAAGTCATTTATGCGGTTGGTTAGAAACTTAGTGAGCGACTTACAGTCCAGGGACATAGATTCATAAAATCATAGATGAGCCTGAGTTGGAAAGGGCTCATGAGGATCATTGAGTCCAACTCCTGACTCCACACAGGGCAACCTAAAATTTAAACCAATATGCAGATCCCAAGCGGCATAAGAGTTGCTGTATCTAAGCAGGTACATACACGTAGTATATTACAAATGCTCTAAATCTCAGGTGTTGTTTTAGCTCTGAATTTTAAAAAATTCTTGATTAGAAAGTACTTCATATTTTACAGTGAAGAAGAACATCTCCAGTCTTCCATATTTAATAAAATTAGTAATTCTTTCTAAACATTTTCAAAGACAGGCTATGGAGGAAGGTCAAAATGGGTCTAGCGAGGTGCTGTGAGCATAGAAGAACAGGGTTAGACTACATACTGTCACCTTCAGTTACTATTGACATTAACTTTTACTGGGAAGAGGGAAGTGAGTACAGTAAAAAAACCGAGTTCATTAGGAACGGATCTGAAATCTTTTAAAAATGCCCTTTCCAACCAATGGTACCATAAGCTGTAAAGAGTTTGCAGCCAACTAATCCATTTCAGAGTGGCCTAAATTCGTTGCTAAGCTGTCTGGCTGCTGTTTGCAAAGACATCAGTGAAGGCATTGACCTCGGTAATGTAACCTTGGTGGAAGGAAACCTGAAACAGAGGCTGGGCGAGCGCATTGCTGTGGCTACCAGGACTGCACTTGGAGGTTGTAAGAGGAGCCAAGCGCCTCGTCCATTTCTATAGCAAGGGCAGTGTACTGTTACTACCTTTAAAACAGAGGAGTTACAGGTGTTTGGCTTTGTGTTGATCTGGGAAATCGGGTTAAAGCCACACTGCTTTCTGGATCGTTTGCAGCGGGAGCGTCGGCAGGCGGTGGTCTGAGCTGTCTCGCCTGCGCTGCTGGCGCTGCCATCCCTTGTCCCGCTCCCTCAGATCAGCTCGTCACACTAACGAAGTGCAACGGGCTTGTGCTTTGTGCCCGTGAAGCCCACGAGTGGTGCTGGAGTTTCACAGAAACACCGTCAAAACCTTCTGAGCTCTTTGAGCGTGATTTCTCCTTTGCTGTAGCCGAGCGGTGAGACCACAGGGGAGGCTCAAGGATCACACCTAGACTTGTAAATACAAATTAGTACGCTATGTGACTGCATGATGAGCATATAAGGTCAAAATGTGAGTTTTATAACATATAGCCTTGAAAAGAGAAAGCCTGGTGAGCAGAGGGAAAGACTGTGTGAGAGTGAAAGCGCTTTCACTTTTCCTGCCTATTAATTTACGTTCCTTCAGAGCATTGCTATTTAGCAAAGTGCCTTCTGTGCTTCTGCCAAGCTGAAGTAGCCGCTGGGAAAAACTAAGTAGGCCAAATCCTGCAAATATCTGGAGAGCTCAGCCAGGGTGGCTGATGATCCAAAAGAGTGCAGGGACAGATTTGGCCTCACACAGACAGCACAACAGTGTTGAACAAAGTAAAATATTGCCATAAGGTTTTAATGCCAAAAATCAGTTGCTGCAAGTTAGTGCATATATAAGGAAATTTAAAAAAAAAGGAATAATTCATAGTTTTGATTCAATGTGCGGAACCTGGGTTCTTCAGATCTGCTCTTTGGGTCTCAGGCCATGTCAGTTGGGGGCCATTTAAAGTTATGGACTATGTCTGGCATGGCCCAGGACAGTGGTGTACTGACCAGATAGATGTCTGAAGTCAGAGCTCCTCAGCTGTCACCATAGAAATGCTCATTCTGTTCCCAGTAGTCAATACTGGACAAACAAGGTTTTGTTTCATATCCATTACAAAATGTAAAGACATTTTCTGTAAGTAAAAAACCAAAGGGGAACATTCTGAAACTCGGGGGAGTTCTTGATTTCTGCTTTAGGTGGTGGGCATTTCTGTAAGATCTACAAACTATCTGCTCATGATGGCTTCTCATCATGAAATACTTTCAAACTTGATCATAATTGCATGTAGATGCTTTTGAAGCATAGATGCTTTTTGTTTTCAAAAAAAAATGAATAAAGAGCCTCCACCCCCTCTTTATATAGTTTTTATAACCATTCATCCATAGTGAGCTGATAAGAGTGTAAAAAAATTAGTAAGAACATCACTAAGCCATAAAACTTGCACTTTATTGTTCACAAATAAGGCCTTTTTTTCTTTTTTTTTTTTTTTTTCAAACGAGGAAAACCAGTATTTCAAGTTTTAAACAACAGTTTGTCTTTTGATGGAGATTGGAAGGTATTGAACTTTCTGTGAAATGATTTGGCATCGACCGTTGAGGTCGATGGAGACTCACCCTTCAACACATGCAGATTGGATCAGTTCAATAGATCTTAAAATGATTCAGTGCAAACTATTCTTCAACCTGCGTAGCAGAGTGAACTTACTGTGCTTTTTTGTGCACAGCGCTGCACAAGCTGGGTTGCTTTCGCAGCCCTCCCTCAGCAGCATCGGAAGCAGCAGAGACCCGTTTTCACATTTATGCCCCTGACTAGCTTCTGTTTGCTGAAGGAGAGGAAAAGCTGTTTCTCTGCTGCTTTGTAACCAAGTAGGTAATGACTGGGTAAAGGATGGTGAGCGATGGAGGGTCGAGAGTGTTTTGGCTTCTGTGAAGCCTGCAGGGAAAAAAATGATCTGCATTGTGGAAAAGGAAGGTGCGATCCTGTTCCTATCCCAGCACTTTACTCCAGGTTTAGCCAGTTTGTTCTCCAAGCCATCGCTCTCCTTTCCAATGCATAAGTCACGTTACTGCCTTCATACAAATTTAGTCCGAAGCAGCTCAGAGCTACAGATTTTAATCCTCGTGGAGTATTCACATGATAGCTGGGCAAGCACATATTGCTTTAAATAGCTCAACACATCGCTGTCATTCCCGTGCTATGCAGTCCAACTCCGTGTGAGCAGTCGAGGGAGAGATTTTTGCCTGCCAGGTACCTCGCTGACCACCTGTGTGAGAGAGACGCGCTTACAGCATCTTCTGCCGTCGGCGCTGTGCCCTCCTGCACCAGGGGGACAGGACCGCCTGGACTGGGCGGATGGCTAGAGCGCTTTCCCAGCAACCTCAGCCCGTATTTTTAACTGGCGGCTGGGCAGGTTGCAGGTTTTTATTTCTTTAAGCGAGGGGCTGGCTCGCCTCCAGCCCGTGCGTGGGTGCCGCGGGAGTTATATCTGACCCCGGGGCGCGTTGGTGTCGGAGCGGGAGCCGTGCCCTCCACGCCGGCGGTGCTCGGCCACGCGGCAGCCCTGCTTCCAGAAGGGAATTAACGCGGGAATGCCGGAAGATACAGGTACCGTGGGATGACTCCGCATTTTGGAGAGCCTAGACCTGAAATGACTTGGTTGTCATCCAGAGCCGCGGTAACAAAATCACCGATGCTGTCGTGAGAATCAGTATTCTGTGTTTACGTGGCAACGCAGCAGAGTGGAGGAAGATGGTTAAACATTGATTTTAAATTGTGCTTCCTATTCTTTTAATTATATGAATGATGATTTGGAGATTATAATGATACTGGCACTTAGCTGACAGCTCAATTTGAAAACTTCCTTCATTTTATTTATTTAAAATTGATTTTAGAGTTTATATGAGATTGTAATGAGAAAAATACCTATTGCTTTATCTAGATATATTGGAGTGCTGTTCCTATGTCCTTTCTCATTGTAATCCTGCTAAACCCCTACAAAAATAGCCTTTACGTTGCTGCAGTAAAGGTTCCTAAAATTCAGTAGAGATTTTTACTCACTGCCTTTGGATTTGGTAAATATTTTATTATAATAATGAGGGCAGGAGGTTAGCTCATGCTAGGCTTGTTTATGCGATGTGAATGTTGCACTGAGCATACGGTGAGATTTGGAGCTCCCGTGTGCTGAGTACTTGTGCTGTGTTGCATCTCTTATGCATGATTATATACACATTCTGCTGGGTAACACCTCTCATTCACCTCTGATCCCATAAACTCTGTAATTAGCAGTAAAAGCAGAGGTTGCTTCAGTCGTGCTGTCCGCCTGCTGTCCTGTATCAGCTGTAGGTTTCTGTTTTGATTATGATCCATAGGAAGTGCTGGAAAAGGCATGCAATCCTTTCCTCAGTGCCAGTGGAAAAGCACTGTAAAAGCTGTTGTTTATAATTAGTAGGAGCAGGTACACATTTCAAAAAGGAACATGATTCTTGAACCGTGTTATTTTGTATTTTTGGACTATGTGAATGCATGCAATTAAATGGAGACATACTGACATAAAGATTTATTGAATTTGCTGACTTGCCTGTCTTATGGTGTAGGAACTACAGAGGGAAGCAGTAATAGTGCTTTGCTGTAGGAGCCACAGCAGAGGTCTTGGAAAGAGCAGCGAGCATTTCTGGGGGAGTGGCTGGACCCACTCGGTGCAGAAAATCCCCGTTGGGGAAGTGATCGAGCTCGTGTGCGCTGGCGTGGGGACAGTTCAGCCCTCAGCGTGGCCAGCTGGAGGGCTCAAGGGACTACGTAATATGGACATTCAAGGCAAAACTTCTTTAGCTTTCCCTTTATCCTTGTTATCTTCTGCTTTGTTGTGAGATGTATGGAAGAAAAAGGCGTTGTGTTGTAATGAAAAGGCACCGTAAAGCATGCAAATGTGTTTGAAATGTCTTTTAACGCAAGCTGCTAATTGAGAAATAAGGTAAATCAGGTTACCACTAGTTATTTAACGTGCAGTTGCAGAACATCTAACGTGTCTGCTCCATGGGAAGTTTGGTGCCTGTCCATTTGGTCACGCTGTGCCCCCCCCGCCCCAGTGCCTGGACCACCGGGGTGCAGAGCCGGGCAGGGCAGGGGCCAGGCAATTGCTCTTGCCTGCTGCCGAGCACGCTTTGGAAGGATGGATGGGGAAAGCTCGTGGAGTCCCCGTTCCACAATTGCTCTTTTTCTCATCCTTTCTGTGGAAAGGACCATCGAGTTCTCAGGGCCCCACAGGGCTCCATAATGAATCACCAGTTCTTAGGAAAAAAACCCAACCCTTATCTAAAGTAGATTTATAGCTCACACCCATGTAGTTCTCTGAACACTGCACATATTGCCGTATTACTTATTACTGTGTTAGATTACCCTTACCCCCACGCCAGCACTGGAAGAACTCCTAGTCGTTGTATTTTAAACACAGACACAAGACAGGGAGGGAACAGGGGCCAGGTTCAGGCACTTAAAACCAGGAATAATGCTTCACGGGATATTTAGTGGCACTTAAATGCTTGTTTCCTTTGCTTTCATCTGGGTGTTTTTTAAACCCAACCCTGAGTGTTTTGACTGTGGCAACAGAAGAAGGGTTTGGCAAAAAAACAACTTGAACTCCAATCTCTAATTCCAGTCGGGTGCTGCTGCGCTCATCTGCGTCTCCTTTAATCCTGCTCAGAGAAGATTGCAAATTTAATTCCCCTCCAGGCTGCTGTGAACCACACCCTCCCCAAATTGCTTGATACAGCATTTCAGCAATCTATACCTCTGTCCTGTTTCTCAAATACTTAGTGAGTAAATAGCATTTGGGTCTCATATTTGGGTTTTTTTTTGATTTTCAGCAACCATCTCTAGCTATAGAGATGAAAGGTTTCAGTGTCAACACAGAGATAATTTTCTGCTAATTCCTTCATGCAGAATAATATCCATTATCAGAGCTGTGCATTTTTGGTTCAAAGTTGGAATGTGGCCTTTGCCTTTGTTGAAACCGATAATTTTAGATATTAGTGTCTTTCTAAATATTTTTTTTCCTCAAACAAAATATTTTCATCTCATGAAGTGAATGTAATGGGTTGTGAAGAAGGGATGTTCCTCATGAATTAATAGAGGAGTCAGTACTGCTGATAGTTGCTAAAGAAAATTGATGCAGCTCTTCGGCTGATGGAGGGTTGCTCTTGAAGGCAAATGATACTGTTTGTAAGAGCCTGAAATGAAAGGCTTGCTCTTTTTTAACCCAACCAACCTCCAGAACAGGATAAAAAACAAAACAAAACAAAAAACCAACCCACAAAAAGAACAGGGGAGGTGACCTCTCCTAACCCTTTTGGTTTCTTTTTACTGTTGCCTTCAGGCTCTGGTTCTGCACCATCCATCTGGGAACCTTGGTGAGGAATTGGCACTTTCCCTGCATTGGGAGGTAATTGTTGGGATTACAACAACTTGTTCTTTAGGAATAAAATATTTAATCACATAAATGTCTCTCCATTTGAATTATATCTTGGTTTAGTTCACAGTACTTTTTAAAATGTCCATGTGAAATATCACAGAAGGCCAGGTTGGACGGGGCTTTGGGCAACCTGGTCTAGTGGAAGGTGTCCCTGCCCATGGAAGGGAGGTTGGACTAGATGATCTTTAAGGTCCCTTCCAACCCAAACCACTCCACGATTCTGTGATTCTAATCTTAAATTGTGTCATTTGGCCCTTTGTCATTTCAGCCTTCTGTGATCACCAAAAGCAGTAAATCTAATACACTGGTTTTTCAGAACAGGGTGAAATAATCTGGAGTACATAGAATATGTGGCCTTATTTGTGTCCGTCTGTCGAACAAAGCAGGTGAAAGTCTTTAATAATAAACTTAATATTTGAGGTTTGATCCAAGATTGAACGTATATTCTTAAGCATGACAGTTCTTAACTTTTCAGTACTCGATTTCTAAGCTCAGCTACAGGTTCTATGCTGAGTTAAAACAAAATGCACCAAATGGGAAAAAGCATTAAGACTATGTCAAATCCTGCAGTTTCTGGACATATGTTTCTTCATCATGTCTGTAATCTACCACGAAGATTCCTCTCATTTGGCTGTCAGAGAGCCTGATAGCAAAGGGGTTTGTCATCCTCTGCGTGGATCGGTCCTAGACAGGATCTTTTGCCAAGGGTTTGATTTCCCTCAGTGGTTTGCTCACGGCAGAGAGAAGGTGACATTTTCCATCCCAGACTCCAGAGTGGAGCATGACCAGGGACTTGGCAAATCTTCTTCCTTCTGCCACTGCCATCAGCTTGTCTTGTGCTGCTTCCAAAACACTCCTGTCTCAGCCAGATCTTGTCCTCATCCCTGGCACTTCATCCTGGTCCCCACTGTTGTTAAATCCTACTTAGTCTAGCAATGCCGAAAGAGCTATGCTTATTCAAAGAAGCGGGGGGGGGGGGGGGGGGCGACCACATGTTGTGCATTTTCATGGATCCAGTGTACCTGTCCCCAAGTCCATCTCTGTCAGGCTTCAGCCTTTACTCGCAAGTACATCCAAAACCAAGGTGCTCTGCTTTCTTTTTAACGTTGAAAAACAATATATTGTATCCTGTCCTTTTTTTCACCTTTATAAAAAGCTTCAACAGTTTGTCTGAAATCTTCCCTGAAGAAATGAGCTGAAGAACACCAAATGTGAATAATGTCTATGTAAACAGTTGAAGTTTGGCAGAGTTATAAGCACACTGAAAACGTCACTTTAACAGTTGCCATAAGGTGTGTACGCAGCTTTAATCACGAGTGATACCACTGTCCCATCTTCCCCATGGTACTTGCAGCAAGTGTGTATGTCTGGAGCAAGCAGTATAGAAGCAAATCCGAGGAATGTATCTTATCTGACAATTTTGTAACAAACCACTGCTAATTCAATAAGCCCAACTTTATCCAGAGCTGCAGAATTAGGTACTGCATAGCCTGTTGGAGGGAGGCTGAGTCTCGACATCAGAAATATGTGAGCACTGGACATCTGGCAAGATTATTGGGAGTGATGTCCCCAGCAGACAGGTCTTGCACACCAAAGAAGTGCTGTGGAAAGTGCTTGCTTGTTCATTTCTTGCCAGTTTTTGTCCTTGTTGAAAAGGAAGTGGAGTCAGATCTTTTTAGGGTTTAAGGACTGGTGGAGATACCTCTGCTAGAGCAGAATGCAGTGTGGGAGAAAGGGAAATTTGGAGAATCAGGCATTCATTTGTATTTCCATTTAGAAAAAGTCATTTAAAGTTAAGAAGGAAATTTCTAGTTTCATTAAATTCTACGAATCAGGGTATAATGTAAGCATTTAATTTTTAATGAGCTCTTTAGTTATGATCTGATGAGTAGTCTCAGATCATTACATTCCATCAGTAATTCACTATTTCACTCATTAAATATGTTGATTATATCTTCTGCTGCTTCAAAGAGTGATTTTGATACATAAAGGCATAAAAGTAGAATGCTGAAAATTACTGTGTAAACGTATTTCCTTGAATATGATTTGAAACATAAGTTAAAATGTTAAGTTTACTAATACAGTTAGTTTCTCAAAATTGTCAGCAGTTGCAATTTCAACATGAAGCACAATATATTTTAAAATACTGAAACTTAAACTAATATATCATTAATTATGTCATTTTGTTGTGCTAGATGAAAGAATAAGTATTTAAAACTGTCTTCAGAAGCACAGTTTTATAATGAGCCCAAAGGCACTGTATTCCCACTGGGGTTTTGTATGAAATACTGAGTAGCTTAGTTCCGAACTGAGAGAAAAGCAAGATAATTATTCATCTGTCTACCACGCATATTTTAAATATGATTTGTGTTACTTCAAGATTAATGGAAGAATTCCAACAGAAATACTACATCTTCTCCTTTTTAATTTATTTTTAATGGGTTTTTTGCATTCTAAACCTTGATCCAGAGACCTGAAGAGAAGCAAATGTGTGAAGTCATCCTGCCCTGTAGCTCTGGACACTGAACACCACATGCATCGTGGAAAGCAAAACCTTCTGTTTTCTGCCACTTTGCAACTATTTTCAGTTTGCAACAATTTTCACAATTCAAAAAACAAATATACAACAATTTTTTATTTTCTGCTGCTTTGCAATAAGCGCAGCGTTGAACTCCCAGGTGCAAGAAAACAAACAGAAGAACGAAGTTTTCTCGGGAAATGTTCCAGAGAAATGTGAATATTTTCACTTCAGGGAAAGGGGGTATGTTTGGGGTGGAGGGCTGCCCTTGGGGTCCCTCCAGCACACGCTCTGCGCTGCGGCTGGGACTCCTCGGCCAGGTTACTGCCCTGCCCACGGGACGCCCCACGGCACGAGATCGCAGCCCTCTGCCTGCCTCCGCACCGACCGGGTGCTGGTGCCTCTGGAAAGGTGCTGTTCAGAAAGCCTCAGCTATGGGAAGAGTCAAGTGTGAAAAAAAGCCAAATGTTTAATAGTTGCAATCAGAATTTTATATTTGAAATGTAACTTTTTAGGCCAAAACGATCTGGGTGTGGTGAGCTCTGTTTAAGTCAAGTCTTCCATGAATTAAATGCTACAAATTTGATGCTTGTTAGTAATTCTGGAGGGTGCAAACCTTCTTTATCTGTAGTTATGAACTTTTAACTCTAACAAGTAACTCAGGAAAATACTCTGTTTTGGTTTCTTACAGGGTTGATTCTTTTTCAGGGTGGGTAGTTTGTTTTGGGCAGGTTACAGTGAAGAGAAATTCTCATGTCAAAAGTTAAGTATTGCAAAGTTCAGAGTTTCCTCCCTTTTCATTTGAGGAGTAAGTCAGACCCTCCTATTAGCTTGAACCATGTCCGCTATTTCCTGTGTGTAAATTTGGGGATCTGCCTTTCTGTAATCTTCTAATTGCCTGTCGTGCTGTGTTGTTTTTACTGGAGATGTACTTAATTATAACCAGGGCTTCAGTAATAGCTCCAAAGTTCACATTGCCTTGAGCAGGACTTTTATGACAATCCCAGAATGCAGCAGACAAGGCAGAATGCTAATGGGTGGTGAATAATGCTAAGGGCAGCTCAATCCCATGTATCTCCTTGGGAAAAAAAAAACAAAACCCTTTACTTACAGGAGTAGAAAGTGCCGGTTTGGGCAAAACTTGCAGAAACTCCCCTGGAAGACTGGGTGGGAGGCTCAGCATCTCACTGAAATACTGACTCCTTCAAGTCAGTGGATGTGGAAAGGCCTTTTAGGTATCACCACAAGGTGCCAGCGGTGGGAATGGGGTGGGAATAGAGGAGGAAGAGCAGCAAGGCCAGATATTAGAGAACAAGAGCTGAATGACTCTCACTTACTGATTTTGGTATCATCTGTTATCATATATGTTCATAGTGACAGTACCATCGCTACCTCTCTATATTGTCCCTACCTATGGTGAAGGTATAGACATTACTGTTGTTTTGTTGTTGGTGGTTTTTTAATTAAAATCAATTTTGTGGGTTTTCCCCCCTCTTTTTTTTTCTTTTTTTTCCTTTCAGAAGCCTTTTTTCTGAAATAGCAACTCTGATATTACAATAGGAATAGAAACGAAAGATCTTGGCAAGTCTGAGTTTAACCCAGCCTCTTACAAATCTATTAATCGTTTTGCAGCAGTCTCATACAAAAAGTTACTTCCTGATTTTTTTTTTTGTTGTTTTTTTTAATATTGATGAAAGAAAAGCAGTGGTGCACAGCAATGTCATTATCTCTCGACTAAACCCTGAAGGGAAACACATCTGATTCCCTTTCCTATATAGTGTATTGGCCTGAGAGGTTGCTCCATCTTGACTGGTTGGTTGGTAAGTTTATTTTGAAGCTAAAATTTAAAAAAAATTCCATCACTTTGAAATAAGTAATCCAACCTTAGAATAAGCATGCCACATTATAGAAGAATGTCATTAAATATGTAATTTACTTAAAACACTTAATATATTTTCCTGTTATTCGTTCTTCTTCACAAAGGAAAAAAGCCAAGTCTATTGAGTTATAGTACAGCCCCTTTATAATTAACTGCCTTGATATTTGCTCTCTAGACTCCTGAGTACATTGTGATAAAAAAATTGATGCAAGTACTGCAGCAGAATTGCAAGAATAAGGTCATATCTCACCTGTTCTACATAACACATTGGGATGCCAATTTATATTGTTATTATCAACAGCCCAATAAATGCAATTTCTAATTTACATCACAAGATGGCAGCAAATTTTTAATTCACTTAATAGTTTACTAACCTAGATAAACCTAATCTCTTGAAATCATGGTTTTCTTACAGAATGACGGCAACCTTTGTTTAATGATCAGATGTACCTGGTGTTTACAGAGATGTCAATGCTTCAGAAGTATGAACTCAAAACATCTACAGAAGTGTATTTCTATCTTAAAATCAGCTAAAAAGGCATTTACTCTGAACTTTAAAGATCAGCAGCTCACAGTGTAATAGTTAAATCCCATTAAAGGTATTTTGGATAAAAACAACAGCTTTTATCTATAGTCTTTGACTTCTTGAAGAGAAAATGTGAAAAAGCATTTTTTGAATTTCAGGCGGAGGTTCTCAAGACTTGACCATCTGTATTCTTTCCTCTATAAGCAATTCTGATTTATGTTTGAAATGTTACCTAGTTTTGAAAGTTATGAAATGGGAAGCTTGGCTCAGCTGCTTTAGCAGATCTCTTCTCTGCTGGCCAATACTAGAGGTTAAAACTTCTACCTGCTTGACCGGTTTTGTCCCAGCTGTTAATTGTCATTATTTGTAGGTCGTATAGAAGATGCATCTGATGGCCTTTAAAATGCTCTACGTTTTGTTTTCCCTTGCAGTTTCACAACCGCAGGCTGTACATAGCCAACTGGAGAAGCCATCAACTACTGCAATTCTCTGCAATAACTGTGGAAACCCATGCAAAGGAGAAGTTTTGAGAGTTCAGAACAAATATTTCCATATTAAGTGCTTTGTTTGTAAAGGTAAGTGTTTGTGACAGCTCTTCCTATGAGTAGGGCATTAGCACTAGGTGTGTGACTTCACGGTCCTGGAAACTTCACAAACATATTTTACAGTCCAATCCATGCCTGAAAGGATTTGCTGTAAACTCGATGACTGCTTACTGTAAGGTTATAAACATCCTAAATCCTACAAGTGGAGTATGTTTTGAGTGGATATAAACCCATGGAATTTACTATAGAGTTGGGACCTGCAGAAGATCAGTTTGGGAGGGCTGGTAGTGAAACACGATGCGGGGTTAGGAGAGAATTAGCATTTACAAAGAAACTCGGAGGTTGTCCCTTTCCCAGCTTTCTAATGCATGCCATGTCTGTTCAGAGTCTCTTGTGTTGGACTGTGATGTTTGAATCCCAGTGTGACCCCCTGTGCTTTTCCATTTTGTGGGGGGGAACTACTTGGTTTACTCCGGGTTGGTGCCTGGCTGTGATCTAATATTGGCACACTGTGAATGGCAGAAGGATGGTCAAAGAAACAAGGAATTAACGGATACAACACCCCTTCTGTAGACACTTGGTTGTTTGAAAGATTATCTGGAAGTTGCAAAGATCTCATTTGTTTTGAATTTACAAATGAGGAAATGTTAACTGAAGTTTACTGGACAACCTGTTTACTTCATTAAGCAGTACTTCAAGTGACATTTATTAATCCTTGCAGCACAGCCTAGAAACGTGAGCATGGCTCTGGTCCCAGCTAGGTTAGAGTGACTATTTCCATTTCTGTTTAGAGGAAACTATCAGAAAGGAAACTGTCATCATCTGTCAGCTACACTTATATTTTTATACATCCCATGGGATTAAGTATATAGTATTCAATAACTCAATAATTGTGTTCTTTGCAAAATTGCAGAAAAATAAGCATAGTGCACTACCCTAAATAGCAAAAACATTTTGCTCACCTATTCAGAACCAGAGTGGTATTCAAAACAGAACACAGCCCCTACATACATCTGTCAAACTCTTTTAAAGCCACCTGTTCTTATGGCAAATTTTATTATCAGATTAGTTTTTCAGACCTAACTCAGGAAGAGAACAGCTAATTTGTTATTCAGGAATCTTGTCTCCTGCATGAAGTCTCAGTAACATACTGGTCTGTGCTCCATTTAATTATCTTGTTGAAATCCAAGCCCCCTTTTATACAGATCTGCTGTGAGAAAACATTGACAAGTCCTACTGAAGGAACAAGACACAATTATACATCCATGTTTTCATTTCGTAGGACATCTCCTTTTAGAGGCTGCCAGGTCACCCGCAAATGCAGCAAGCGGATTCTGAAACTATTCACTGATGCCAAATTTAGGCAGTGTGGAGGCTTTTTTCCCCACCCCCATACAGAAGAAGACGATGAATATACTGTAGAAGCTGCATTACCCCTACCTGTCTGTAAGAGATAAGAAGGAGTTTGTTCGCTTCAGGCAGATCTTTGATAAAACGAGAAAGAAATCGCTATGTTAACAAGGAAGAAGCAGGGTAGCATCTGTCAGCCACCCATCAGACTCTCAGCTGGCACAGGAGATAGTGTCAGAGATGCGTGGTTAAACTGCTTCTTGGTGTCAGGGCTCTTGGAATACTTACATTCCTCCTTACTAATCATTTTGCTAAGTGCTAAGTTTGCACACATGGCTGGTTTTTTTTCCCCCTCATTATTTAAATGCCTTAATTCTTTTTATCACTTTCATGAGTTTCCATCAATTTGCTGGCATCCTTCTGGTATCTGTTTTTGTTTTGTTTCCGAGTTTTATTTGTTACTTGAGAAGCATAAGTTGCTTTCTAGTGTGGATTTACCATGTTGTTATGTGAGAAGAGCTTAGGAACAGAACAGAGCACTGAACATACATTTCACTGGCTAACATAAAGGGGAAAAAGAAATCAGGTTAGGCAAATGTCATTTGGGTTTTTAATCATGTGCTCAAATCAATGGATGAAAAACTATAGTTAATGTGTTAGGATTTAGCAAAAAGATGGTACTCAGTTCTCCTGGTCAGTTGACCACTTACCTCCTTTCAGCCTCGGAGGAGAAGTTTGTGCCACGGCCCCTTTTCTGAACCCCTTTTCTTGCCATGCTTCTGGACTGTTGTGCACGGGCAGGGTGATGATCCTGGGAATATATTTCCTTTACAGTTGACTCCTCCCTGCGGTGCATTTATTTTGATGGTGCTCAGTGATGCAGTTCGCCCCCTCTCACCTCATCCACCAAAGAGGCTGTGTGTCCAGCGTCCAGTGCAGCTGCAGGACAGTCCCAGGACAGACCATCCCACGTGTGGGCTAGCTGCGTTGCCCCACTAAGCTGCCTGCAGGCTTAAGTTGACTGCTTCTGTATTTAATCATCTCATAGCCTTCATCAGAAACCCTTAGATATTTGTAAAATGGCAGAAGATTTTGTTCTTTCTCGCAGTATTTACAGATGTACGATGATGGAGACCACAAACTGACAAAGAGTCGGTGAAGAATGACAAATGCCCATGTCTTGAGAGGGTGTCTAGAGCTATTTGAGGTCTGTCTGAATGACTTGATCAGTGATAGATGATACTACACTGGAAGAAGTCACACTTACCTTTTTGAATATGTGTGAAATGTGAAAACATTTCTTTGATAGTGTTGGATAAATTATGAGGTTTGGGGGGGGGGGCAGAGACATTTAATTGTTTCATTTTTTTAGGGTAGAAAGGTAGTTTTGCATACTGCCATCCTGCCATCTGATTACTCCTATGGGGATTGTGAGTTTCAGAATGCTAACAGCAAGTATGGAGGTGCCTTTTGTATTTAAATTAAATTATATAATGAAGGAAGGTTAGTATAATGTCACTCCTTCCCATCCAGTTCTTCTTAGATTCTCCAGACAATGATTCTAAACAATTTAAAGAAAAGTTTTAAAAATCGACCAATTCTTCTTATTATGCAAGATTGAGATACAAATCCAGATTAAAAATTTTAGTAGCAATACTGTGAACATCTGGTAGTTTTGCTCAGTATCAAAGTTTAATAGGGCTTACGGAGGTAAATAAGCATTATAAGTAAGGTTCATACTCATATCTGTTTGTATATATTATTTCTTGTTAAGATGCACATCTAATCTACTAGTAAAAGGCTGTAGGCAACATGCCCTCTAACCTCAGTTCAAATTTTTACTCAATATTTACTTTAAAATATCTACCATTTTAATTGGGTTTAATAAAAATGCAGTTACAATAGAAACAGGTGCCTTTGAAATAATAAGGCAAACATTTTATTCGTTAGACTTCAAGGGCTTTGGTTCCCACGTTTGCAAATTCTTACTGTGTCTTACCACTGTAATGAAAGCACCAAGGAAAATGACAAAAGGTGATAAAATATTGGTGACTCAGACTATCAAGGTAAAACAAATTGTGTTGTCTAGTTCATTCTGAGGGTGTCTGTCAGGTCAGGACTGCTTCTCAAACAGGCAAATACTCACTTGGAGCTCGATTACAACAACGTAATTTAGTGAGCCAGTGAAGACACACTGATGTAGAATTGTAGATAGGAGAGATGTAGATGCTGCGATCATGTTATCCTGGGTAGCCTCTTTGATCTTTCATAAAGATAGAAATTACCTTGTTTTAGGAGTGTTTGTCAAGTATTTCTTTTTCTGTGACGTGATAGCATCCTGGCATTTCCAAAGTAGCAGTAACCTATGTCAAATACAGTATCTAGGAAATATTGGAAGTGTGAATCAAAGCCCCATGTTTCTAGGGGGTCTGAATAATTTAATTACTATAGCTTTATATAAAATCAGAAAGTACACTTTGCAATATTTTATGTAGTCACTCTAGCAGACCAAATAACGGACAATCCATAGTGCATTTGCAAATCTATTTGCATGCAGAAATCCTGCAGCCTCCACGCTAGTTAAATTGGAAAATCCATGCAATCCTGCAAAAAGCCATTCTTTGTACAAGATTGCTTGTATGTGAGAAGAATCATAACTCGTATCTTTGTCCTTTACTGGTTTGGTCTTGATGAAATGAAGCAAGCTTACAGTCCGGGCCACAGATGTAAAAACATGACCATTGTGCTATATCAGCTTCGCTATGTATATGTCTGTCTTGTTTTACCCCTAATCAAAATTCCCTGGATTGCTGTCTTGCTATGGATGCAGCACATGCTGTCTTCCATGCTGGCACGGCTAGCAGTTTCACGTATACTTTTTTTCCCCATGAATTTTCATCTATTTGTTTAATTAACCTGTTAGAACATATCACATCTTCAGCTTAGAGTTGGGAATGTGGTTCTGTGGGTCAGCATTTCTGATTCTTGTGGCATTACAGTTTCCTGGGAATTGTGAAAAAGCCCTGGGCTGGATATACCACTTCTATACCATTTTCTCAGTGGAACGTACAGCACAACCCAGAGTTACGTCATTTATTGTGAAGCCATATTAATGGGAATGGCTAAGATGGAATATTCAGTGAAAAGGTTAAAAACATCGAGTAACTTGGTAATAGGAGTGATTTGTTTGATAGATCAAATGCATCTGCTGGGATATAAATATGTTAAAAGCTACACTGAGTAATCTGAGGGACTCGCATTTGAACATAGCTACAGGGTTTCACATTTCAGAATGGGAGTCATTTATGGGAAGCTCACTAGTTAGATTTCTGTGTCCCAACTTTTGGCCAAGCAGGAGCGGCTGATGGCATGTGTGGTATCTTAGGCACTGGGGATGAGCATAGGGGCTCTTGTTCATCAGGCACTCAGCAAAGTGCCCATCGCTTCCCAAGTACTTTAGGAGTTTGCAGTCCCAGCTCATATTAACTCAGTATAATAGGAAAAACTATGCTTCCGACGCAACGCTTACAGAGTCTAGCTTGGACAGTATAGTAGGTTTGCGGCTGACTTACCAAGGTCACGTTAGCTTAATATTTTATTTCACTAAAATAATGATGATGATAATAATAATCACTTTTGCCTGTGCAAAAGTAATTTAATGCAGTGGCCAATGGTTCTGT